GCGCACTGTACCAATTATAACATTGATCATAAACATTCCATAAGAATATTTTTCTATCGAATCCAGCCGATGCCATGATTTCACCATCAGGATGAAATTTACAAGAATATATTTCACCTTCATGTCCTTGTAATAGCATAAATTGGTGCTGCTAATTTTGATGTACGTGAATGAGTTGAAACAATTTGTTGATTATTTTCACTGATACGAGCTTGTTTATATGGTGGTTGAGGACCAATTGGTATAAGACTTCTACTTTCATTACGCCGTTTCAAACTCATTATTTACAGAAAAAAATGATAATGTATATAAGAAATCAAGGGAGTGAAAAAGAGAAAGACACAAAAAGGAAGTTAACGATTAAAATCTAGAGAATTAAAGAATATTAGTAACTATATTCATATATCAATGGAAAACAAAAAAACACACGCAGTAAACCTAAATATGACATTAAACACATTCTCTTTTCTATTTTATCTCTAGGTCAAAAAAAGCAAAAGGAAAAAAACTGAACTTTGCTAACCTTCGTAGTTCGATGTAAATAAAAAAGCTCTGAATGAAGAGATATTCTATTTGATAATGTTGTATAATTATTAATTGAATGATCGTTCCTTATGATACTTGTTTTAAGAAATATGGTCAGTGCAAGAGTCAAACGGAATTGTGTGATGAATGAAGATAAAGTGAGAAGCTATAAAGAGGACGACGATAACGTGTACAACTGCAGTTTAGTGACACCTCCCCCCCCCCCCCCTTCTTTGTTATACGTATATATGTATGACAGAACAGGAAAAAAAATCTATTGGTGTATCGTATGAACAACTCATAATAAAAAGAGGAAATATGAGAGATAGATGGCATAAGAGAACAAGAGAACTTTATTAAGAAAAAAAATACACATACCCATGTCACTCGGACACGCTACCGACACATGTGTCGACACAATGACACGATGAATATACATGTAACGACACGTGTTGACACACTGTATGTTTTGTACGTCATGTGTCGACACCTGTGTCGCTGGCGTGTCTTGGATGAATTAAAGTATAATATGGAAAAGAGAAGGAAAGAAAAAAAATAACGGTCGTCTTTTGCGTATATATATACAATGTTTCCAACAGCAGGTGTACCCAGCATAAGCAAAATGGACAGAACATCTACTATTTTTGATTTACAGTCTGATTTACACTTTGCTTCAAAATACAAAATGTACGCTGTACACTCTGCTAAAAAATTTTACACTTTGATTCTACAATGTTAAAAGTTGTATGTAATATTAACATCAAAGAAAGACTTTCTTTGCAAAATAGTCGACTATGACCTTGCAATCTTGAGTAAAATTCTACCAATGGCCAGTATGATTTCTTTTATTTCGTCTTCTTGCTTATTTTTGTAGATAAATAATTAGTTCTAATTCTAAAACGACTCTCTGCTTGTTATATTGTTATCGATGCTATTAACAATTTTTTTCAAACATATTTCAGATTTATCGTTTTCATACGTAAAAATGTTAAAAGAATAGAATCTTTATAGCTTCAATCTGACTTTAATTGTTCGTATGAAGACGAAGGTGAAAATCAAGACAGCAGATGTTTTGGTGATATTGTGTTTAAAACAAATCCTAAATAAAAATTGTTATACTTAGGGTATACCAA